ACCTATACTGTACTTTAACATGTACATGAACTAAAACTGGAGTCCTAAAAGATAATTTAATGGAATAAACAATATTACTGGAAAACTTCTACTGTAGCTCATAAAGTGTATAGCAAATGTTCTATCTGTCTAAAATATAGCCCAGAAAAACTATTCCACTGGTCCCAAGGACACTTCCCACTTCTTTAGATCCATTTGAGGTACAGTGAGTGGATTTTTTATTTTTAAAGATTTTATTTATTTACTTTTAGAGACAGGGAGGGAGAAAGAGAGGGAGAGAAACATCAATGTGGTTCCCTCTCGCACACCCCCTACCGGGGGCCTGGTCCAGCAACTCTTTGGTCCACAGCCCGTGAGCTACACCAGCCAGGGCTAATGATTGGATTTTATACAAATGCCACTGATACAGGGTGCAGCCAAGAGGGGGGCCCCAAAAAGGGGTTTGGAATGGTGTCCAGAACTCAAAGTGTATAGGACTGACTATTGGAGAGACATATAAGATGTCCTCACCCCATGACCCCACAGGTGTGAGTTGGGGGAAGGGACACATGGAGCAGGAACATGTAGGGCTGTTTTGTACAGCCACAGCCTTGCAGCTAATCCATGGCAGGGTCATTTAACATATCTATAGCTTTTGGTGGGTCTCTTGGATATGTTAAGTGGCTGTGGCCAGGCTTGGCGCCAGGGGGGTAAAGTCACCTCCCCTCCCAAGATGTAACTGGGGGCAGGTCCCCCAAATTACAGCACCTGCGTGGGAGCTTGGAGAAGACTGGTTCTAAGACATGGGGCCATACCTGTCCAGACTCATGATGGCAGCCCAGTAAACTTGGAATAATACAGAAATATTGGGCCCTGGAGGTTGTAGCTCAGTGGATTGAGTGCGGGCCTGTGAACCAAACAACCACGTTTCAATTCCCAGTCAGGGCACATGCCTGGGTTGCAGGCCGGGTCCCAGCGGGGGATGCATGAGGGGCAACCATACATTGATGTTCTCTCCCTCTCTCCTTCCTTTCCCCTCTAAAGATAAATAAATAAAATCTTAAAAAAAAAAAGAAATATTGGCAGGTGTAACTGACTGTGAGAGGAATTGGAAATGGGGGTACAGAGGAAGAGTGGTGTGGGAATTTAAACCCAGACATGGCAGCCTTTGTGGGGGAAATCCCCACGCTTTCAGCAAGAATGGGAACTCCTGCAGCCATGTGAGAGAGAATCACCATGTAGCTTTAGCAGAGAGAGCCACATGGTTTTAGCAGATTGAGGACCCCCTTTTGGCCAGGTGAAGGAGAGAACCACGCAGCTTTGCCAGAGTGGGGACCCCTGCAGCTTTGGTAGAAGAGGCCCATGAGGCTTTGGGGTGCCCCCTTTGGCTGCATGGCCTGGAAAGCAGGAGAGACTTTCCCTGGAAAAATGGGTACAAAGAACTCTTGCCAGTAGACCGTGAGAAGGTGCCACATGGCTTTGGATTAATTGGAGATCCTGCCTGGATGGCGACACAGCTGACGGTACCAGCAGCCTGGAAGAATGGACGTGTGCTCTTTTCCTGAGATACAGTACCCTGAATTAGGGCAAGAAGAGAAGGGAGTGCTGTGTGCGTAGGTGGATATCCTAAAGGACTTTGATATTTTAATGAAGACGCTAGATTACTATGTTAGGTCTGTATAGCATTAAATAAACATTTCCTTTTCTTTTCACAAATCTCTGGCATTGAGAGACGTCTTTCCAATGGCAACAGATGATCGGGCCCAGTAGGTGGTCCGGACCGTATTAGTGTACCATCCTCTGGAGTCTGGGCCCTGGTGTATCTGTTCTGTAACAGTTTTTGGTGTCCCTGAGTGGGCCAAATATTGCCCCCCTACCCTTGGACCTCTGTTTTGTAACACCACCATCTCAAAAATAGCAAAAAAATATATTTAGTCATAATTTTGTTCTTGTTGAGGCATTCCCTTGCAGGAAAGCAACAGCTTTAATGGCAGGTAAATTTTTTTAAATAATTAATTAATTCCCAGTTGGGAGATTCCCTCTGAGTTGGTGACTGAGGGACTCCTTTTACTAGATAAATAGCGCCATCCGTTTGTAATATTTGATCTGTTCTACAGAATTTTCATTTTGTGCCCAGCACCCCCAATTCTCTGGATTGCTAAAACATACAAATGATACAATTAAAACTCAACTAGGTAAATTTTCAGAAGGTTTTGATCTCTTTTGGCCCAAAGTTTTCCTTATAGAACTACTGAACCTCAAACCTATAGTAAACATAGACTTTCTCCTTATGAAAATAGCAGCCACCTTATCAATCTATAAGATGAAGGAATATATGAATCAACTTCACTAAAGGGAGACAGTCACCATTATATTAATGTAAGGGTTCATTAACCAGTTTATAGGGACTAATAAACTGGTAGCATTTCACAATGCACTCCCAGAAAACCAAGACTTCAAAGACCACAAGTTACAACCAGGAGAGCGTTGACCACTGGAAAAGACGTTAATTAAAGACACTTTTTTTCAGGGGCCCTAAACTCAGACGGACATCTGCCCTCGTCTCTGACACTTGTCCCACCTACAATGGAGATCAAAGACTTCCCAAGAATGAGAAGCCACTGGCCCCAGAGATAGACAGCTATCTCAAAACATCAACAAGGCCTCTATACCTACAAATTAAAGTTAAACTTTATTTATCTGATTGTTCTTATCTATCTGCTAATATTAATCAATAATAACTATACTTGTTCTTTAGACTTCTCTCAATCTTGTGTATATAGCCCAACTGTTAATTGCTGAAGGTGTATCAAAAATTTTTTCAATAATACTCTTTTTGCCCTGGCTTGTGTAGCTCAGTGGATGGAGTGCTGGCCTGTGAACTAAAGGGTTGCCAGTTCAATTCCCAGTCAGGGCACATACCTGGGTTGCAGACCAGGTCCCCAGTAGGGCGTGCGCAAGAGGCAACCACACATTAATATTTCCCTCCCTCCCTCTCTATCTCCCTTTCCCTCTGTCTAAAATAAATAAATAAAATATTTTTAAAAACACTCTCTTTATGGTTTCTATTTTCAAATTTAGAAAGAAATGCTGTTCCAAAAGGAAGGAAAAGATGTGTATATTTTTAGAAGTTCAAAGGAGGTAATTGTACTAAATGTGCTTACCCCCTAACCCAACAAAGACTACTAACTACATTAATTCAGGTAGAAGCAGAAATGGCTATCACAACATAGCAAATTGTAATTGCTGCTGAGGCACAGTAAATGTTATTTATAATACTCTTCCTGTTCTCCTGGCCTGTAGAAGTTTTTTGATATTAATTGTAATTTAAAGTATTGTGTTTTACAGCCTTGACCCTAATTAAAAACTTAAGGTTACAGTTTCCAGTTGCACAACAATCAGAAATCAAACTAATAAGAGTCTTTGAGTGCTTCCAGTGGGAAGTAAATGGGCCATAGTAAATAAAAACCCATCCCATGGTCAGATTAAGAAAACTAAAAAGGTGTATGGTATGCCCTCAAACTATAAGTGAATATTATACTAGATACAAAATATAGAAAATTAAGACACAACAAAACCTGAATCGTGATAGTTTATAGATTGCAAAATGATCCAGAGTGTTTTTCTTAATAAAGGCCCATAAGAACTGTCTGCCTCCCATTCACCTGCCTCTTTTTTTTTTTTGAATAATGATAATTCAACCTTAAATGCCATCTAAGGTTCCTGTCTTACCCTGTGGCCAGTGGTTCATCATTCAGCAAGACAAACTGACACTGAGATTCCCTGGGCATGGGCCTTCCTAACACCTTGGGACCTCATTATCCAACCAAAAGCTTGGACATTAATGCATCCTTTGGATTGATTTATGACCAAAAGCAGGTTGTCTGGAAGAAAATAGGCCACATACTAACCCTGACAAGCCAAGAGGAGGCCTGTGTGGCAGGCAACCTTGCAGACTCTGAGACCTAAAGTAAACACACAGGATGGTCTGAGATGAAAATTTACTAACTAAAATCAGTTCACGGCAGGAAGTCACGTCCTAGCCTGGCATTTTTCCATAACAAAGATGAATCTTTACTTTAACTGAGCCTTTCTGTTGTTGTTTTTTTGTATCTATGATAACATACCTTTGAAATGTCAATTTTCCTTTTTTCAGGCCCCCCAAAATACAGACATAGCATCAGAAGGTGACCACAAATCCACTCATTGTTACTGTTATCAGTACATTCTTAAGGGTTAACAATCTTGTACTCACCTGTAAAAGTACATGTCTATCATTTTACCTTTTATCCAATCCCAGATGTTTCCCAGTTTGCTTTCTCCCCCCTCCCTAATCTATCACTAATGGATTTCATGTAACCCCCTTCTGCCTCCTCTTTTTATTGTAATGTATGAAATAAAAGGCTAAACTGCCATTCTCTGGAGCATTTCTCAGTTCATTGAAATTTTGCTTCATAGCAGTTGTCAGTTTGGTTCAAATAAACTCACCAAAAATTCTCTACAGGTTCGAATGTTTCTTAGTTGACACCACAGACTTCACGGTCCCCAATGAACCAAAAATGTCAGAGTCTGCTATGATCCCCAACAACCATCTATCTCAGTGGTGCCATCCCAGTCAGGCATCAGATGAATGGTACACACGCAGGTAAAAGCTTTGAGCACGAAAATACAACCCTGTCTTAAATCACACACTCAGGCAACAGGGTACTACACCAGTCCCTCAGCAAAGTCCACAGGGTACAAGCTACCCGTGCTGAGGTGTCACAGCCAGGGTCACATCACAAGCCTTGAAGATCTGGACACCAGGTCCCAATCAGGGATCCTGGTTCCAACCTCATCATACACCAACCTCTTTCCCCTCCACTGCTCCCCCAAGCCCCATCCTCCGACCGTCCCAACCCTCACGGGATGCGGCCCGAGAACCTCCAGGTTGTCCAGATCTTTGCTTTAGCCTGCCCGCCCCCTCTTCATGCGCCTGCGCATTATGGACAAGAGGGGGGGTGGGAAGCAACTCCCAGGAACCTCAATTCTTGGTTCTTGGGCGCACGGAGTCAGGAACTCAGTGGAAAAAAGCCGTAATGTATAGCTTTTCTGATCCCCCCTCCCCCACTTAGTTCCGATAGGGGAGCACGCCGGGATTATCGTCAATAGCACCGGTCACTCGCCGGGTCACTTTTGCAGGCCGGTGTCAACAGAACCGGACACCCTGGCTTTTCCGGCACCCGCTTCTCTGCCGTGCCTGCCGGGCCTGGTCGGAACCAGGAGGGCGGGTGGGAGGCATGCCCCTTTCTCCTGTGCCCCTGCGCACTCGGATAGAGGCGGGCGCTCTGCAGAATCCCGTGAGAATCCAGACTCGCGTGCTGGGCTTTCCTCGGAGCCAGGTGTGGCCTGAGTTCGGTAAGCCAGGCTCCGCTGCGGTCGGCGCTTTTCTGAAGAAAGCCAGCGCGGCGCCGGCAAGCCCTTGCGGCGGCCCGGGGGGTGGGTCCCGGAGCCTGCCGTTCCTCCCGAGTGAGGGTCGGCGGCGGTTCGGAGCCCGGGAGCGCGCCGGGTAAATTTCCTGCGGCGGCCGCGGCGCTCCGGCGGGTTTGCGCGCGCGTCCTGTTCTGCAGGTTGAGACCCTGAGGCCCTGCTCACCTCCATAAACGCCGCAGTTCCCCAGGCCCGGCTGTAAGAGAAGGCCGGAGAGGAGAGGTGGAACTCCGTAGTGAAGATCCCCGGCAGCATTTTGGAATTGGGTTTTGGGCGGGCCTCTGGGAGAATCCGCGGGACCGGAGAAACCGCGGTGGGCCAACCCGCAGAGGGGTGGGGGGCGGTGTTTGAACTCCTCCGAGAACTCGGATACCCGAGACCGCGGACCTTCTCCGCCCCGCTCTCGTTTTCTTTTGTGCGTACAGGTAGCGAGGATCGAGGGAGCGTGGAAGGTCCGTTTTCTTTGACCAAGTCAAAAAAAATCCTGGGATGTAATGAACCTGGTTTGCCGGTCTCCGGAGAAGGCCTTTTGAAGTGAAACGCATCGGGGCTGCACCTCTGAAAGCCGGGTTCTGTGTGACTGTGTGCTGCTTCTTTGTTTCTGTGAACAGCATTTGATTTTCAGGAAGCAGGACTTTCTGATTTCCTTCCCCTGAAATGTCCTGCTTAAGAGTTATCTCTTGGATTTGGGTCCTAGAATTTCCCTAGTAGTCAATGGCAGGGACTTAAGTAATGGACTCCTTTTTCTATTGTCCACCTACTTCCTTTGTACAGTTAACCATGTGCGGTGTATTCAGTTGCTCTGAGCAGTGTTTTTCCTAAGGATTCTCAGGACAAAAATACCTATTCTGTAAATTAATGCTCATCCTTTGGTTTCTACAGTGATTTGTTAATGAATAGTTTAGATATCTTTAATCATTCTAGAATAGGAGTGGGATTTTTTTTCTAAGGAAACTCGTAAAGTGGAAATTTTTGTTAACAGCTGGATATGATTAGAAGTTTGATAGCATGAGTTTGTTTTGTTTTGTTGATGTAAAAAAATCTAGACCTGTAGAGGATTTTATGAGGGGTTTTTTTTTGTTTTGGAGCCCAAGCTGTTGACATTTGCTGCAGAGCAAGATCTGAAGTGCTCCAGAGAATATCAGTTTTACAGCTTCTTGTAGACATTTGAAATTAAGGAGGGAATTTAAGGAAGATTATATGGAGGTGGAAGGAAGCAAGGCTCACTAGAAGGTGGTTATGTAATGGGGTGCAGCCAGGGCCCCCCCCCACAAAGAGGGGATTTGTAAAGAAGTGTAGGGTCCAGAACTCCGGGTGTCCAGGGAGAATAGGATATTTTCCCCTCCCAAGGCGAATCACCATGGGGGATGGGACACATGGAGCAGGGCCACTGACAGTCTGCACAGCAACAACTGGCCAACTTCATACCTGCTGTGCAAAAATGGTTATTTTGCATATCAATAGCAGGCTACCTAGGGAAATGGGCATGACTTTAACCGCTAATGTAAGTGGAAGGCAGTTCCCCTGGTTAAAGTGCCTCCATAAGAGCTTGGAGATAGTTTGTTCCAGCCACAGGGCCACCCCATCTTGGACTAACTGGCAGCCCAAAAAGGATGGAAATAGGGCAGCTCTAGCAGATATAGGTAAGTGTAGGAGGAGTCAGAAATGGGGTTGCAGAGGAAGATCCCTTTGGGATTTAAACCCTGGCAGGGCAGCCACGCTGGTTCTAACCACTTGGTTTTGAGGGCAGAGAGAGGACTCCCTTGCCCAATAGCCTTAGGAAGCAGGAAAGCAAGATGTAGCAGCCATGCAGAGCTCTCTCAGCAGTTCGGAAGAATGCAGGGGAGACAATGCAGGATGTGGGACAATAAGAGATCTTTTGGGAAGGAAAGGGGTGAAGGGACTCTTGCTGGTGGGCCACGTGGTTTTGGATTAAGAACTGGGGATGATGGCAACACTGCTGGTGGTGCTGGGCACCTCGGGAGGTCTGCCAGTCCACACGGATTCAGTAGTTCCTTTCCTTTGTGCCAAAATCTGACATTGAGAGCCACAATTTCTAGGAGCGGTGGGCAAAGAATCCATAGTGCTAGAGATCCTGGTCGAGGGGGCTTGTTTCCAAAACAGTATCTGGGTCCCCCCCCCCCATGGGTCCATTTGGTAACAGTTACATTTATTTCAAAGGTCTGTTAACCCAAAAGCACAGAAACAATGGACAGGGCTTGCTTAAGGCAAAGATAAATAAATTATTTACTAAAGAAGTTACAGGCCTGGGGCTTGACCTACCCTGTTAGGAATTTATGATCAGAACACCTGTGAGATTACTTTCCATAGAAGTGCTTTTTAGTTTATTTTCGACAGTTTAAAAATTGTGTATAATTAGGATGTGAAACATGTTTTGATGTGTGTATATATTGTGGAATGAAGTGATTAAACAATCAGCCTAATGTCTTCATCACCCATTGACCTTTTTTTTTTTTTTTTTTTTTGGTGTGGTAAGAATACTTAAGATCTGTTCTGAGCAAATTTCAAGTATATAACGCATATTTATTATCAGTAGTAAACATGCTGTACATTAGTGTTAGGTCAGAGTTGCTCAACAAACCAGATGGATGCAGTGAGCCAAGGAGCAGGGATTTTTAGCGGGAATAAGAGGGAAAGTGGAACCAACTTGGGGCGGTTGGGGAGCCAACCAAGGGAGGTTAGGACTCGCTCAGTTGTTCTCAGGGAAGGTTTTTTAAGCGCAAAAACCCAAGAAGGGTATCTGGTTAGGGTGTCAGAGTCTGATTGGCTAGAGCTGGTTGCTGGGTGCCGTTTCTGCGGACCGTTGTTCTTGATACATCTTGTCAGGCCCAAGTTAAAGTTGCATCCTGTTATGTCAGACAGGCTGACCCCAGACTCTAATCTTAGCCCAGCATCTGTTTGTCCTGGGTAGGGTCGGCAGGCAGCTTCCCACAGTACAGTTCCCACCTGGTGACTTTCCATTCCTCCTAGGCCTACCTAGGTCTGTCAGTGGATAAAAAATTACTAAAACTATGCTTTCCATAGTAGAAAGTCAGTAAATAATGTTTAAAGCTGAAAATTAAGAAGTAACAATATTGGAATGTTGTTCAAATGAATGGAGTTCAAGGGCTAAAAGGAATGGCTAAATAGGTAAAAGTTATTGCCTCTAGATTTGGAAGACAGGGAGAAAGGTAGCAGAGATGGAACTATTTGGCCTTATTGTCATAGTTCTTGCAGAGCTATTCATTTATGTTCAGGTATAAAGTAATAGAAAATTTCAAATTATGGTCACATGGGAGAGATTTTATAAAATCATAAGAGTTTTTAAAATATATTTTATTAATTATGCCATTAAAGTTGTTCTATTCCCCCTTCATTCCCCTCCACCCTGCACACCCCCTCCCCCACCATTCCCCCTCTTTAGTTTATGACCATGTGTCTCAAGTTCTTTAGATTCTGTATTTCCCCTACTATTCTTGCCCTACCCCCTATCTATTTTCTACCTACCATCTATGCTACTTATTCTCTGTACCTTCTCCCCCCTTCTCCTTTCCCACTCCCCTGTTGCTAACCCTCCATGTGATCTTCATTCTATGGTTTTGCTCCTGATCTAGTTGTCCTCTTAGTTTGCTTTTGTTTTAGGTGTGGTTGTTAATAACTGTGAGTTTGCTGTCCTTTCACTGTTCAATCTTTTTCACCTTCTTTTTCTTAGGTAAGTCCCTTTAACATTTCATAGAATAAGGGCTTGGTGATGATGAACTCCTTCAACTTGACCTTATCTGAGAAGCACTTTATCTGCCCTTCCATTCTAAATGAAAGCTTTGCTGGATAGATCAATCTTGGTTGTAGGTCTTTGGATTTCATGACTTGGAATACCTCTTTCCAGCCCCTTCTTGCCTGTAACGTGTCTTTTGAGAAATCTGCTGACAGTCTGATGGGAACTCCTTTGTAGGTGACTGTCTCCTTATCTCTTGCTGCTTCTAGGATTCTCTCCTTCATTTGAATCTTGGCTAATGTAATGATGATGTGCCTTGGTGTGTTCCTTCTTGAGTGCAACTTCTTTGGGACTCTCTGAGCTTCCTGGATTACCTGGAAGTCTATTTCCTTTGCCAGATTGGGGAAGTTCTCCTTTATTATTTTTTCAGATAAGTTTTCCACTCGTGGCTCTTTCTCTTCCCCTTCTGGTACCCCTATAATTTGGGTGTTGAAACGTTTGAAGATGTCCTGAAGGTTCCTAAGGCTCTCCTCATTTTTTTGAATTCTTGTCTCTTCATCCTTTTCTGTTTGGTCATTTTTTTCCTCCTTCTGGTCCACTTTTTTTATTTGAGTCCCAGTTTCCTTTTCATTACTATTGCTTTCCTGTGTATTTCCCTTCATTTCAATTAGTTTAGCCTTCATATGTTCCTCTAATTTGTGACTAAAATCAACCAGTTCTGTGAGAATCCTGATCACCATTGTTTTGAACTGTGCATCTGAAAGTTTGGCTATTTCTTGGTCGCTTAGGTTAATTGGCTCTGGGGCTCTGAGTTGTTCTTGAGCCATGTTTTGATCTGTTTGTGCCTGTTACGTATGAGGAGTGGAGCCTTAGTTGTTCACCAGGGTGGGGCCACCCAGGTCGCTGGTTTGTGATGCTGTATGTGGGGGTGGGGTCGAAGAGGGACAATAGCAGTCCCATCCCCTCTGTCACTTCCTGCCCCTGGGGCCTGCACGGTCTGTCTCACTGCTTGCTCCTTCACCGGTTTATCTGCGAGCAAATGTGTGACCGCGATCAGCCCTCAGTGGGTCTGCCTGCTTCTCCACACCTGGGATCCTCCCACAGCTGCTGGCACACCTGGGTCGCACGCCCCAGTCGGTCTGGTGGATCTTTCCTGCCCGACCCCACTCTGCTGCTGGCTTTGCCCCTGTTACCGGTTTGGCTGAAGGTTTAG